CTTGTCCAGGTTGCACTTTAAAAGTTTTTTACCTCATTAATGTGTTTCTTATAAACTAGGATTTCCTTTGGAGTTGCGGTGCTGATTTAAATATAGAGCCCTCTTTCTTTGTTCTTTTCATCATGTTGGAGTTTCCAGTTGCACTTTAATATGTAAATCTTTGTTCACATTTTGTGCTGCAAAATTGACAATGACAATTACAGTGACGTACAGTTTGTTAAAAGAAAATTAAATGAAATGGTCATTTAGCTTTTTTTTTGTGGATAGGTTAATTTTCTAAAATTAATCGTTGAGATGAACAGATTTGTTGGTGGATTAGTCTTTCTACAAATGTCCTACAATGTGGGACAACAAAGTGAATCTTAAAGAGAGAGAATGTTGGACTGTTGAAAACAAAGCCACAGATAGTTCTTTATCCATCGTACATGGATTTTATACAAACTTCAAAAAACAGAACAAACAGCTCTCAGTGCCTTTGAAACAGCACCGGTTCTCCTTGGTTCACTTCCTCACAGTTATTTTTTCAGAGCACTTGGCAGCTACATTGTTCTTCTGAGCATAATTTGGCAGAATCAGGTGTGTAAGTGTTGTTTATTGGATTTCATTCAGATCCAACTGCAAGTGATTGATTGCTGCAGCTTTACTGACGCCACAGTAGATCTTTTCATGTGGTGGACGTTAGAAATTCCTCAGAGCTCCGCCTGAGAACTGCTAAGAGGCTGACGTAGAAGTTATTGTGTTTGTTGACGGTAATTATGACATCAATGAGGCAATAGATCTTTATGTTATTGTGCACATTTGTTTGTGTGACCTAGTTTCTGTCGATGATATGTGGACATGGGCTGATGACAGATTAATGTCTCTGTAAAGTATTTCAGCTGAGATCCTGAAGTTGCAGAAGAGGAGAAATGTGTCTGGCTGCATTTCAGAATAACGAGACCTATATGATGCAAAATGCAGCACATTTAGATTTTAATGAAAATGCAGAGACTCGGTGTAAAAATAGTGTAGTGTGAAGGGAGAGGTGACGTGTTAGCCTGTCAATCTGAAATAAGATGCTGTTTTTCCAGCCAGCATGTATGTCGTTGTCACATCAGTCTATTTCTTTCCTTCAGCGGTGACGAGGAGGAGGAGGCAGACGGTCTTGAGATCCTCATGGAGGCTCCAGAAGGGTTCAGGAACTCAGATGAAGACCGTTTCTCAGAATCACAGGTGAGTGGATTTCTGGTAAAACAGCTGCTTTTATGGCAAAAAAAAAAAAGTGGTTAAAACATTTTTTTTTCTCCCCTAAAGGAGTCGAGTGTGGGTGATGTGCAGGATTTGGGCCAGATCGAAGTTCCTGAGGATAAGGAGGAGCTCAGCGGGGAAAAGGGAGACGAACAACACGGTGAGAGGAAGTCTGACGGTTACAGCAGGTGGTAGCTGTTTACATGACTGCTGGTGGGAGAGGGTTGTTGATTTGGCCTGTTTTGAATCTTTCAGGAGAGGAAACGTCACACGATCAGGAGGAGCGTCCCTCCACTCCCAGCCATTTGGCCACTACTGTGTTCTAATGACGCAGAGGAACCACGTTGAAACCATTTCTCCCACTCTGAATTACTGGTGCCATCTCTCTCTCTCTCTCTTCTCTCTCTCTCTCTCACACTGCGGGACTGGAGGCCTTGAGGATGTTTCACTTATTGCTCAGACAAACAAGCTCTTCCATTATGGTGGAGTTTGTGCACACATTTGCCTTGTTCTGACCAAGAACGATAAACCTCGAGGTTGTCGACTGACAGTCCAACAGTAATCATTCTTTTGACATTTCATCACGTTGCCTGGGTCGGAGGTGGAGTCAGCGATTCGAGTCTGATACATTTTTTTTTTAAATCAAATTCTGTGAATATCTCCTCCTGGTTTGCTGGCTGTCTGTTTAGATTAAAGCAGTGTTTGTGCACAGCCCTGCCTCTGTAAACGGGAAACAAAGTGGCTCGGACCGATCCACACAACACGACTCCACAGGATGAAATGAGGCCGTGGGAGCGAAAGTGACGATAAATACGTTAACAGTCTTGCTCCAGAATTGCAGACTCCACCTTTAAAGCGCGACGCCACTTAAGTTTACACTTCGATCGACTGCTCCTGTCATGTGAAAAGTCAGTGTCCAAAATGTCGACATTTCAGGAACAGCCATGAGAGCGGCCTTGTTTTTGGCTTTATTACAGTGCTTTTTATTTTTAAAGTAATCATTTTTGAAATGGTTTTCTAAGTTCAAGTTGATGTTTTGTCTTTTCAATCAACAGAGAAGCATACAATCAGTCGTTGAGCTGCGTTACAAGGTTTTCAAAGATATCAGTATTTGTGGATATGAAAAACTACCGAGGTTATGAGTTTCAGTGTTAAATCGGTGTACAGCCCGCAGCTCTTTTCTTGTTTAGAGGCAAAGACTTCACGAGCATGTGATGTTTGTGTGGAGACACGCAGTCATTTCCAAACCAGGAATGCACCCTGAAAACGAAGAGGACCATTCATTCTCAGCATCAGAGACGGTTAACGAGAACTTTTATTAGTACGCTTGTAGTGCAAAAGTCGGATTCAATGTCCAAAGCTGTACCTGAATGAACGTGTTGTTATGTACACTTGAAAGATAGAAGTTTCTCTTCAGAACTCATTTCGGTTAAACCTGAAAACAATCTGCAGTGTGGAACTATATTTAAACCTGCATGTGTAGCTGCCTCACGCTGCCAGCATGTCTGTGTAAAAAAGCTCAACTGATAAGTGTCTAAGCTAGGCTCCGCTCCAAGGAAGCCATCCGGTCTGTAACTGTGTCCAAAAGCTGCCTCAAGGGGGCGCTATAGTCTTTCAGCGTCATGCTTCACATGTTTCTTCAAAAGCCTCGTCATTCAGAAAGTGCCTCAAGTGACAAGAGATGTAAGGGTTTAAATGCCACGACAGGAGAGATCAGGCAAAAGATAACAGTGTTTATTTTCGGAATTACTTTAAGAGTGTGCACAATAAGAGATATTTACTGTTTCATATAAAGAATTGTATATGTCTTGAAATGTTAAAATGTTTATGTTCAGAAATGTTTAAACTTTATAAAGGTTTCTTTAAAATTAACACGTGCGTTGTGTTGATTGAATCAGCCTCTGTAAACGTCACAACAGCATGAAGAAATACCAGTTTTTCCCGAAGAAGAATTTATTGTTTAACACTTGCGATGTATTTTGAAGAGCGTGAACAGTTACTGGACTGTTTAA